GGGGGGGAACCTGATACACCCTGGCCGACGCTGGCAGTGCTGGAACCATGGAGGGTTTAGGGGTTAAGGGTTTAGGGTTAAGGGGTTTAGGGTTTAGGGGTTTAGGGTTTAGGGTTTAGGGTCCATGGAGCACACCCCACTCTTCATGGAACCATCTAGTAAAAGGGGGCCTCAACAAACAGCATAAGGCTTTGGGGTATAAAATACACTGTGATTATAGTAGGAACCCCAGGAGTAATATTGGCAATTGTTTAGGCCCTTGCATTTATTTTCAGACTTGATTCACGAAGCCAGGAATTCTAGAGGCTGCTGTTGATAGCTGCTTCCTTTGCGAGGCATGGCGCTCTTTTCGATGTTCGCTGTGGATGTTGGTGCTGCTGCAGTGCTGCTACCTTTGACTGTGTTATTCCCAAGTTTATATCATAGCTCTCGATGCTTTGTTTCCCCCACTGTTCAAGTCGCTGTTGCCGCTGCTGCTAATGATGATACTCATGTTATTCTCATTTCCTTGCGATGCCCCGGAATGTCTCTGCCAGTGTCCAGGCTGGTGTTGACTGTTCTGTTGGCAACGACTGCTGGGGACGATCTGAGCCTGAAGGGGTCGATGTCCCATGGCTTTCCACCAGTTTTAATATATTCATATATATATATATATATCTGTATATATATATATATGTGTATATATATATATATATGAAACCAATTAAGTCTATGTTTCTACTAGGGTGGTAGACTGCGATATTGCTACAAGATAACCCTGGAGCGGCCTGGAATGTGAATGGTGTACATATGGTCGATGCAGGTGGAGTCCTGGCTGTTGCGTGGCTTCGCTGGCTGAGAGGTGAGTATTCTGGCAGGTCTTCGCGTCGGTTTTTGCTGGCCTCTGCTTCGGAGCGGCGAAGGGTTTACGATCTCAGGCTTGTTTCGGCTTTTTTGGGGCCCCATTGCAAAAGGCGGCCGATGGGAACTGAGGACGGCAACGCCGCTCTAAACCCGAAGGACTCCTGCGAAAGGACCTGGCCCCCCAGCACTTCTTTCTCCAAGTGGGTGGACAAGTAGATGCAGTAGCGCCCCAGAAGCAGTTCATCCTTAGAAGTGGCTCCACACTTGCTCACTTGGCTGTTCTGGTGTCACTTCTGCCGCTAGTCTGGAGCTTCGACCGGGACAGGCCGTGACGTGCGTATCTTACTTGGAGGTTCATGGGTAGTTCTAAGTGGGGTTATAAGTCCCCTAATATGGGTTATAATTATAGTTACCCTACTTATAACCCTACTTATAACTACCCCCGAACCTCCAAGTACAAGCCCAGATTGGA